GAGAGAGAGAGAGAGAGACTGACTTGCTGGCTGTTTGCTCCTTGGTTGATGGGCGACCGGTTGACGTGCTCACTCCTTTGCTCCATAGCGATGGCTGCCTCCCTTGACAGAGCTCGAAGTCGGCGGCAATGGACGGGAAGATGGCGACGGCAACAGCGGCAGCCAACTTCGAAACGGGCAGTGGCAGTGGGCGGGACTTCTCAAACCGCCGATTCAAAGTTGCGCTCCTCCCGCCCGCTACCCTACCTCAAACAGTTGTGAGCTGTCTCTGTGTCTGGGCCTCTTGGCTTTGTCCGCCGATTCAAAGTTGCGCCCCTCCCGCCCGCTCGAGCAGCACGTCTCGCGCAAGCTCCTCCCGAAGTGATTTGGTCCATGGAAGGTCACTTCAGCAGCTGGCGACAACCCCGCGGGTCCCTCTTTCATAATCGAGATTCCCCCGCATTTGACGGTCCACCCAGTATTTCACGCTTCAAAGTTGGCGGTCTATACTCCAGCCTCAGCAGCGGATTTCCCGGGCAGACGGTCACACGACCCTCCATCAATGGATGGTCACCAGGAGGTCGACCGCGTCCTCGCTCATCGCAAGCACGACAACAAGCCAATGCAGTACAAAGTTACATTCAAGCAATGCGATCCCGACGACACACGCTGGATTTCACGAGCTGACCTGAAGGCGACAGCACCCCTCATCTTCGCGCATTACGAAAAACATCGACTCGCTAAGGAAGCTACCCAACCCTGCCCACCCCGTACGGACATCGGACAGACAGCTTCGCCCTCGCAGTTAGCTCGGTCTTCAAGGGGGGGAGTGTGTGGCATACTGGTTCTGTAATAGGCACAATTTAGGCCTTGGTACGTCACGGCAGTCCCAGCTAGGTCCAGGTAGGCCTAGGAACTGTCGGTTCAGTTTAGGGTCTGGTAGGCCTCGTTTAGACCCCACCAGACCCAACAGCTAGTTGTTTACGCCAGGTACCGGTCCATCGGTAGGCCCAGCCGGCGGTGGAGTTTTGGCGCCCACTTTTCAGATTCCGAAATCGGATCTGAACCGTTGGGCCTGATCAACGGTCCGGACCCGAAGGACCTCAGTAGGACTGAGGCCGACCCAGCACTATATCAGCTGGGTACCAGCCTCAGTCGGTAGGTTAGTGGACAGGAGGTTAGTCTTCAAGATTAGCGCAGCGTTTTCAGCGTTAGCAGGATTAGCGCAGCGCTGCAGCATTACGAGGAGCAGCGAGGAGAGAAGGAGCTCCGTGGCAGAGAGGAAGTAGCGCAGCATTGGGAGCAGCGCCACCCCGCGGCCCAGCGCCAGCCCTTTTCAGCGCCATAGCTACCGTGACAGGTACCAAGAAAGGCTTTGCCTTCTCTCCCTCATCTTCCTCCACCGCTCTCTCTCTCTCTCTCTCTCTCTCTCTCTCTCTCTCTCTCCCCTAGTACCTTCTCAGTCGAAGTCTACTCCTGGTTCTCCTACGGGACTACTACGAGTATGAAGGATGGTTACGAGTTCTGATGACATTGGAGACAGCGACATTGGGACTGTAGGTTGAGGACTAGTCTTGGGATCTGATTTCATCTTCTTCTGAAGATGTACTTGACATTGTGAGATCGATATCCGAGACATTGTGGGACACCGTGTTCGCGACATTTTGGATCTTCGCTACCTCAGACATTTCAAAATACTATCTTTGGAAACATTAAGTTGACGTCATCTTCCCTCTCCTCCTCCCTTTGTCTCTCTCCTCCCTCCATTTGTCCGTGTATGATCTCAGACCCTGGCCTTTCTTCTATGTCCAAGGCCAGGGCTTTCACACCACTGATGTATGATTGAGAGTGTTCGATTGCAGTCTTGAGTCAGGTCAGAGTCAGTCCATGGGTATCAACTCTTCCGCTGTATTGTATTAACTTTGTATTATCTGGTCGGTTCTGGGAATCTGCGCCATACTTATGACTGTGTTTCACGAGTATGCAACGACATGCTGATTTCTGCTGCCGAGATTGACTGCGAGGCTGTACACTAACCGGTAGGGTTAGATTCCTAATTTTGTTTGGCTGAGGGCTAACCGAGAGACCTGCCTGTAGGGAAATTCGTGAGGGACATATCTGCAAATCAGGGAAAATATAGGCCCAGTACTAACCCGAATTCCTACAGCTACCCTAACTGCGTATAGCAGGCCCGGGCTACCCCTAGGACAGACAGGCCCTAAGCGGCCTATGCTGCTAGACGGTCCTATAGCCTATAGCCGGGTCCGGTAGAGGCCGAGAGGCTGAAAGAGCAACGGTACCGGTTGGTCAGTCAGTTCGGTCTAGGTCTAGGTAGTCCATAGATAGGTTAGGCCCATCGGTTCAGGACTTTTGGCAGTTCATTTCTTGCGAAGCAGCATTGGAGAAGCGAAGCAAGTTGGTGGCGGTGACTGTCTGCAGGCGGCATGCTGAGACTTGTCGTTGACAGCAGCCATAGTCGGCCCAGTCTGAGTCTGCCATAGCTGGGGCATCCTCAGCGCATCTACCCTTGGGGTATCTGCGTCTGGCCGGGCTATTTCGAGGCTCTACACTGTGTACTCGTGGGTGGTGGCAGCCATAGCTGCTTGTTCCTTCGTCAGAGTTGTCCATCGGCACTGAAGACTTCATCGCAGGACCTGTTCTTCATTAGGGTGGTTGGCGCTGGCCTCTAAGAGGCCAATCTGATGTGGCGCTACTAACTGGGTGTAGGATAGAGAGTGGGATGCGAGTTCTGAGAGTGGTGATATACTGGAACAAACTCTGTCACGATAATTGTTTGAGTGGCTCATCATCAGTGTGAATTCCAATTGTGATCTTCGCAGGTCCTTTCTTGTGATTGGTTGTTGGGAGTTTTGTCAGAGAGTGAGAAACACTGTGTGTTCTCTCCCCATCTGTGCATGATTGTCTTCCGCTGATTATTTTCACCTGTGTGCAGTTTGGACTCTGTCNCTGTGTGTTCTCTCCCCATCTGTGCATGATTGTCTTCCGCTGATTATTTTCACCTGTGTGCAGTTTGGACTCTGTCTCCTCTCTCCCCTTCTCTTCTGCATGTATGGGCATGTGTGAGATTGTCTGTGTGTGAGTGGCGATAAAATTCGTCAGACAACCAAGTTCATAACAGTTGGTATCGGAGCGAGATTGGATTTGGAACACTGAGGGTTGAGCGCACTGAGGCATCTTCTTCATCTGGCGATCTAGTGGCGAGAGTTTCATGGCGATTCATCTTCCCCAGTACTGAGTCAGCAGGGAAGAAGACTTTCAGCGGTGGAATCAGGTGTTCAGTGTTTGCACTGAGCATGCGCACTAAGCCTGTCAGGGCGCTTGTCAGGAAGTGGCGAGTACAGGGCTAATTCGCCATAGCCAACCCTGAGGGTAGTACTGCGAATTACCCCAGAGTGGCGAATTACCCCTGAGGACATCAGGGAACCCTAAGCGGCAGCATCCCTGGGTTGCGCTGAGGGAGATTGACCCCTTGTATCAATCTCCAGAAGAAATAACCCAATCAAGGGCTATTTTTAGCATCAGCGGCTACCAGGCACTCTGGCGAGATATTTTGGTGTTGGCATACTGGGCGCCACAGGACCAGATACAGAGTATCTGGAGTGAGGGAGTGCAGCGCTACAAGATCCAGAGGAGGATCAACGAATTTGAAGCAGTTATGTGCGTGGAAGAGTCAGGAGGAATATCTGGAAGAAAGTGGCGAGATAAGGGTTATCATCAGCCATAGCCAGATCTTCATCATCACCTGCAAGATTCTTTGAAAGTGAGTCCGTTCCATGCACCTACCTGCATAGCGATCCAGATAGGATTAGATTTGTTAATTATAATGGTCTATCGGTCTGTCAGTGACTGAAAGTGAAAATCGCAGACTGCATGACAGCCATAGCCATCTCTCCCCTACCTCTCTCTGCTCATTTCTTGCCTTGTGTTGACTCTTTCTGATCCAAAATTGTTTTGTGACTGATATACTGCATTGCGATTATTCTGGGATGCTCACACTGTGAATTTTGTACTGGAAAAGTAGTGTTTCAGTGAATTGCAGTTTTGCGCTGAGTCTATTTTTAGCCTGTGCTACCTGGGGTCAGTCATAACTTCAATTATGTCCGTCAGAATTCAGTTTTGTCAGTCCCCAGTGAATCGCAAATTAAAAATAGGCAATACTGTAAAATCGCAGAGTTGGATTTGCAGTATTTCACTGGATACAGTGAAAACTGTACTTCGGCATACCCTAGGGTATGGCCGCCAGAGTCATCAGGGTCTAGATTTGAGTCTGAGCTAGGATACAGGGTATCTGTCTGAATCGCTTGTTGTGGTTGATCTCTCTTGTCTGTACTAACCATGTTCTATCATTCTCACTGATGACACTTGTTTTCTAGTGGGTACTGGAAATCTAGTGGGTCTCTGGAAGAGTAGTGGACTGATTCTACTAACTCCAGTGTGGTCAAGGGTCAGTAAAAGGAAATCGTGTGACTGATTTTGCTGGACTTATAGTCTGTCTGACACCTGACCCCAGAGGCACCCTTCCAACCCAAATCGTTGATTGCATGTACACCCACCTACCCCAGTGTCTGAGTGCGGCAGCGATTCCAGTGTGTCTGAAGGAACCGGAGTATCGCTGCAAACTCTGTTTGCTGTTTGTTTTATTTTTGGTTTTACTTTTGAAACGGGAAAATGTTTCATCAGGGGGCTCAGCAGCAGCCACAGGTGGAAGTGGTGATGAAGGTGGAAGGTGAACCGTTTAACTCCACTCCTCCTCCTCCACCTCTGACTGCTACTCAGCGGTTGAAGAAGGAGCTGGAAGAACAGTTGCGGCAGCAACAAGCCAGACTTGCAGAAGTGGAACAGCAGGAGGCAACTGAGCTAGAGGCTGCAACAGATCATTCCAGAAGAGAATACCTGTTGCAGCAGCTAGAGAGGTTGCTCACCGATGACCGCTGTGCTCAGATAACCAAGCACATGGCGGAAATGATCTTGCTAGAGCACAAGATCACCAGCTCCCAGTTCACGAACTGGGATGACCGCTTCGTGCGATTGGAGCGTCGGGTTGATGAACTGTCATCTCAGCAGTCCAAGATCCTAGATTCTATTCGGAACTTGACTGCTCAACTGGCAGCCGCCAAGCTGATTACTCCTCAGCTCCCGCTGATGACACCCAAACCGTCTCCTCCTTCACCCCCTTCCTCACCACATCCATCCCATGCTGGTTTTGTACATTCTTCCCGGTCATCTTCCCCTTCCCAAAAGGCCTCAGGAAAGGCCACCTATGCTGCTGTGACTGCAGGAGACCAAAAAGGTCCCAAGATCCCTGCTCCCAACAAGTTTAGGGGTGATGACCCCAAGACCGATGTTGGGGACTGGGCTGCTGGGACCAGAGCCTACTTGAGGGGCTTTGTCTGTGCAGAACAGACCAAGGTGGCAAGTGTTCTGGGACTGCTGGAAGGGCCTGCACTGAAGTGGGCCACTTCCACTTCCAGCAGTTTGCAGCAGTCCATGGAGGACTGGGCTTTTGGGCTTGGGGTAGACAAGCTTCTGCAGGCCCTGGAGGACCGATTTGCAGACAAGGAGCGGGCCCGCAAGGCTGCTGACATGATTGCTCGCCTGGGACAGCAGCGGTACAGCGGCACCCTGCAGGCCTTGTTTGCTGAGCTCGAGCAGCTTACCTCCACCCCTGGGTTGGTCATATCTTCTGATGATTTGCTGACCAACTTCTGCAGGGCAGCGTCTGAGAAGTTTGTTGTTGCATTGTACAATGCTGGGCACAAGGACTGGAGGTCCTTTGGCCGTACAGCCCTGGAAATGGAGGCCAAGCTCCATGTCCAGGCCCCATCCTCTGATAGGAGGAAAGGTGCCTTCCCCAGAGGTGGCAGAAGGGGAAAGGCAGCCTTTACTCATGCGGGGTCTGCCTCAGGATCAGATTCCGATTCCCAGCCTGATGCACCTTCAGGTGGGACCGGATCTGGTGCTGAGACAGATGTTGCAGCAATCGTGACTCTGGCTGTTTTGGGAGCTCTGCAGCTGCAGAGGAAGTTCTCCCTCACCACAGTCTCCGCCACTGCCAAGGGGAAGGATAAGGGACGTCGACCTTCCTCTTCCCAATCAGTCTTGCTCTTCTTCTGTTCTTTCAGATGACAGAAGAAGGCAGCAATGGACTGCAGCTCATCCTGCCTCGGGTCCTGATCTGGGTCAGGATCCTCATAGCAGAAGGATGCTGCCCGCGCAGTCCCCAAACAAACATCACTAGCACATGCAGCCTCAATTGAAACAGCTGCAGATTCGCCTACTTGAGTAGACGAAGGTGCAGCACTAGGGGGAACTGCAGTCCCCAGGGTCTGTTTCAGTTTTTTGACTGACCTGGGCCTGGCATGTAAGGGCAGTCCCTTAAAAAGTGTTGGCCCTCACATCTCAGGCAGACCCCTCTTTCCTTCCTTCTCCAGACTCCCTCCTGGATCTTGAGGTCATGCCAGGGGAGTGTTGAGGGATTGAGAGGTTCAGCTGGCATACACACGTCTTTGGGCAACTCATCATGCTTCGACCACTGATCAACAGCACCAGGATCACTTGGCTATTGGACTGTGGGGCCACCAGGAACTTCATGTCTCCCAGTGCAGTTAAAAAGCTGCACCTGGGCATGAAAGTTCAGCAGCGCAGCAACCGCTGCTGGTGCGGATTGGTGACTCTACAGTGCTCAGCATCAGGGAGAAGGTCAAGGGTATCCCTGTGACCTTCGATACTGCTGGAAAAGTCAGACAGTCTGAACTTTTACATTTTCCCTAAGCTGCCTTTTGACTTGGTGTTCTCCATGCAGTGGTTGAGGGCAGTCAACCCTAGGATCGACTGGCAGATCCCTAGAGTTGAGCTACCAGACAGCCAGGGTGTGTACCAGCCATGCATGATTGCTGCTGATCACCACCCTAAGACCTCCTGCTACTGCCTGAGAGCGAGGGAGTTTCACGCTCTCTCACGCCAGTACCATCATGAGCGCTTGTTTATTGTTTTGGTCAAGCAAACAGATGCTCCCCCTGTTTCTTGTCCTCCTGAGATACAGCAGATGGTAGATCAGTATGGTAATCTGATCCAAGAGCCCTTTGGGTTACCCAACCGGCCAGCCAAGCATCACATCGAGCTGCTGCCTGGAGCGGTCCCTCCCAAGGGTCGCATCTGCAGGATGTCCCCTGCTAAGCTTGAGGAGATCAGAAAGCAGCTTGAGACCCTGACCAGCAAGGGCTGGATCAGACCCAACACATCTGAATTTGGTGCACCTGTTCTCTTTGTACCTGAAGGGAACAACGAGTTCAGGATGTGCATTGATTACAGGGGTCTCAATAAGATCACTAGGAAGAGTATTGAGCCACTTCCTTGGATCGATGACCTCCTGGACATGGTGTAGGGCTGCACAGTGTTCAGCAAAGTTGACCTCAAATCTGGCTGCCACCAGATTGAGATGGCAGAGGAGGATGTCTACAAGACAACCTTCAAGACCAGGTATGGGACTTACGAGTTCCTGTTCATGCCATTTGGACTTTGGAATGCCCCAGGCACCTTCCAGACAGAGATTCACCGCATCTTCAGGCCTTACCAGGACAAGTTTATGGTTGTCTACCTGGATGATATCCTGGTATTCAGCAAAACTGCCAAGGAACATGCGGAGCACTTGGCTCTTGTCCTTCAGGCATTACGTGACAGCCAGTACAAGATCAACGGAGAGAAGTCCTCCTTTGGAGTTCCCTCTATCATCTATCTGGGTCATGTAATCTCTGGAGATGGTCTGGCTCCTGAAGCAGCCAAGATTGTTGTTATTCAGGAGTGGCCTCAACCTCAGACAGTGAGGGATGTCCGGTCCTTCATGGGCTTAGCCTCCTACTACAGAAAGTTTGTCAGAAAATTTTCTGCAGTGGCTGCACCCCTGACTAACCTAACAAAGAAGGACACTCCCTTTCTTTGGTCCCTCCACTGGCAGTTGGCCTTCACACGACTCAAGAAGGCCTTGACTCGTGCGCCTGTGCTGAAGTTACCTGACCCCACTTTGCCATTCATCCTGACCACTGATGCCAGTCAGTATGGTATTGGGGCAGTTCTTCAGCAGAATGATGGGAATGGTCTACGGCCTGTAGAGTTTATGAGTAAGAAGATCAAGACTCAAAAGCTCCAGGACTCCACCTACGAGAAAGAGCTATACGCTCTTGTCTGTGCCCTGAAACATTGGAAACACTTTCTCCTGGGCAGGCACTTCAAGATCTTCTCAGATCACTCCACCTTACAGTGGATGAAGTCCCAGGGAGAGTTGAGTGACAAGTTGGCATGGTACATGCAGTTCATTGACATGTTTGACTTTGAACTGAAGAATAAGAAGGGCTGCTACAACAAGGTAGCAGATGCCCTCTCTCGTAGGCCTGACTCTTTTGCGCTGATCCCCTCTACTCACTCCTTTGGAGAGGAGAGCCGTCAGACCATTGCTCGTCTACTGCCTCAGGATGAGACTTTCGGACCCATCGTCAGGAATCTGCAAGCAGATCCTAATTCTGAACCAGGCTATGCTCGGAGTTCAGGCCTGCTGTATACTTGCAGTAGAGGTGAGGAGCGCTTGTGCATTCCCCAGGACCAGCGGCTCAGGACACTGCTGATGTCAGAGTGTCATGATGCCCGTGGACATTTTGGGTTCCTAAAGTCTTATGCAGCCCTGTCGCAGCGCTTCTTTTGGAAGGAGATGCGGAGTGAGATGCTGCGTTATGTGGACACCTGCGAGCTCTGGAAGGAGATGCGGAGTGAGATGCTGCGTTATGTGGACACCTGCGAGCTCTGCCAAAGGAATAAGGTCCAGCGTAGACCTCCTTTAGGACTGCTCAAACCCTTACCCATACCTGATGGCCCTGCTGAATCTGTGTCGATAGACTTCACAGATTTAGGCAAGACCACCCCTCGTGGCATGCGTCAGGTTATGGTCTGCGTGGAAAGGTTCTCCAAATACGCAGAGTCCATCCCCTTGCCAGAGGTAGCTAGGGTTTCGGCTGTGAGAGCAGCCGTCTCTGAGAGGTGGGTCACACACCATGGACCGCCCACTTCCATAGTCAGTGATCGAGACCCCAGATTTTGCAGCGATGAATGGCAGTCCTACTGCAAGGACTATTTGCACTCACGACAAGACACGACTTCTGGTCATCATCCGGAAGCCAATGGTTTGGCTGAAGTGATGAACCAAGTCCTATTCCAGCTGCTGCGTCCTGTCATCTCTCCAGATCAACAGGACTGGGATCTTCACTTAGCGAGGGCACAACTCATGTATAACATGTCTGTCCACTCCTCGACAGGGTTCAGTCCCTACCGGTTACACTGGGGACGTGAACCACGACAGCCTCTCGATGACATCATCGATAAGGGAACTTGTGAGGTTCGCATTCCAGCCTCCTTCTGAGAGAAGATGGTTCTACAGAAGGGAACTTCTCAAGACAGCAAAGTCTATTGTCTTGCGATATGAAGCGGCTCAGAAGGGCAACCTTCCTCACCGTTCACCTCGCCTGCATCCCTAGCTCGGAGGTCCTCGCTCCCGGGGAGGGTAAGCTTGCATGACTTGCTGATTTCTACTGCCGAGATTGATTGCGAGGCTGTACACTAACCGGTAGGGTTAGATTCGTAATTTTGTTTGGCTGAGAGCTAACCGAGAGACCTGCCTGTAGGGAAATTCGTGAGGGACATATCTGCAAATCTGGGAAAATATAGGCCGAGTACTAACCCGAATTCCTACAGCTACCCTAACTGCGTATAGCAGGCCCGGGCTACCCCTAGGACAGACAGGCCCTAAACGGCTATAGCCGGGTCCGGTAGAGGCCGAGAGGCCGAAACAGCAACGGTACCTGCCGGTCAGTCAGTCCGGTCTAGGTCTAGGTAGTCTATAGATAGGTTAGGCCCATCGGTTCAGGACTTTTGGCAGTTCATTTCTCGCGAAGCAGCGTTGGAGAAGCGAAGCAAGTTGGTGGCGGTGACTGTCTGCAGGCGGCATCCTGAGACTCGCCGTTGACAGCAGCCATAGCCGGCCCAGTCTGAGTCTGCCATAGCTGGGGCATCCTCGGCGCATCTACCCTTGGGGTATCTGCGTCTGGCCGGGCTATTTCGAGTCTCTACACTGTGTACTCGTCGGTGGTGGCAGCCATAGCTGTCTGTTCCTTCGTCAGAGTTGTCCATCGGCACTGAAGACTTCATCGCAGGACCTGTTCTTCATCAGGGTGGTTGGCGCTGGCCTCTGGGAGGCCAATCTGATGTGGCGCTACTAACTGGGTGTAGGATAGAGAGTGGGATGCGAGTTCTGAGAGTGGCGAGATACTGGAACAAACTCTGTCACGATAATTGTTTGAGTGGCTCATCATCAGTGTGAATTGCAATTGTGATCTTCGCAGGTCCTTTCTTGTGATTGGTTGTTGGGAGTTGTGTCAGAGAGTGAGAAACACTGTGTGTTCTCTCCCCATCTGTGCATGATTGTCTTCCGCTGATTATTTTCACCTGTGTGCAGTTTGGACTCTGTCNCTGTGTGTTCTCTCCCCATCTGTGCATGATTGTCTTCCGCTGATTATTTTCACCTGTGTGCAGTTTGGACTCTGTCTCCTCTCTCCCCTTCTCTTATGCATGTATGGGCATGTGTGAGATTGTCTGTGTGATTGGCGATAAAATTCGTCAGACAACCAAGTTCATAACAAGTATGCAACAGCGCCTGTACATCACAACTCTCGACACTGTGTTCAACACCACTGTTCGCACACACTCAATTCTGGATCACCCTGAATACCCCACATGCGCTGACTGCATCACAAACACATACACACACACTAACACCTATGGCGGCTCTGGCCGCCGGCTACTACTAACTATGGCGCACTAACTTCTTCAAGCCCACTTCGACCTCGGGCATCTGCAGACCACATCACACAAGACGCTCAGGCAGTGCTTCCACATGGCTCTCGCAGGAATGAATGAATGGCTKGACGCTGCCTCTTGATTTACACTTCTGTAAGTCGCTGGTCTGCCCTTTTCCACGGGCCCCATGGTGCACACAGTCCCTCATGGTACTTGCTGTGTGTACAAAGTGAGACTGAGACTGGGTACCGCTGACTAAGCGAAGTTGGACTCACCAGTTGCCCACTTGCCTCTGGTCTGCTGTGTGTAACGTGAGAAGAAACTTGAAAGGCCACTT